GTATTAATTTGGGGGAGTAAGGTTATGTTTAATACTTGGTTTATGTTGTTTTATCATATTAATTATTATTGTACTTTCAGCAGTTAGAGTATTAATTTGGGGGAGTAAGGTTATGTTTAATACTTTGTTTATGTTGTTTTATCATATTTATTATTCCTGTACTTTCAGCAGTTAGAGTATTAATTTGGGGGAGTAAGGTTATGTTTAATACTTGGTTTATGTTGTTTCATTTGTTAGTTGTGTTATTATTATATTGAAAATAATTTCTGTAAAAGTACTAAACTTGTAACTTTTTCTTAGGCTTACAACTCTTCAGTGTCAAACTCAAACATGGGGGATCCCTACCCTTGTATGTCTAGTTACTATGCTACCATGTCATTTCCATATGTCAATCAAAGCAACATAGGAGAAGCTGCATGGAGTAATGGTTCCGACCCAGTGACAGTTCTTGGTGGATATGGTGGCCAGCTTGGAGCTGGAGACCAACATGCTCCTTACATGGATGGAATGTTTGGACAGAGCAGTTTCCCAGGTTATGGTCAGGGATTTAATTTTCTACATGGAAGTGATAGTGATTTCTCAACGTGGGGAAGTTCTGGAGGGGTAGGCCGTAAATGTGTGGGCCAAGATTACCCAGATGACTTTAATCAGAAGTACTATGAACAGAACAGAGATCAGGCTTCCATTAGAAAACTAGAACAGGGGATGAGCAACCTCGTGGTAAGAGATGTAAACGTTGATACCCCGTTCACAGACCCATACTTGGCTTCTGTTGGCAGTGATGTTCATCTGGGGAGACGAGGTGGGAGTTTTTTTAATTCATGTGGTCCAGCACATCTAGTTGGTTATAAAAAAATGTCCTGGGCATCAGTTGCTAGCCAACCTGCTAAATCTATGTCTAAAATGAAATTAAAAGCAGCACCTGCAGCACCACTATTCTCCAGTAAGCAAGGCTCTTCCAGTATGGATATTGGTACTTGGGAGAGTAAGAATGGTAGTGGAAGAATGGGTCCTCCTACTCAAATAAGGTCATCACTATGGGGAGGACAAAGAGGTGGAAGACCAAATGGTTCTTTAGATCAACCATACAACAATTCTTTTCAGTCCCCACCCCTTCAGATCGTTCCACTGGATCAGCCTTCAGTTGGACCTGATGGCTTTCCATCTCACCCTGTCCTCGATAAACTGCGAATGGAAAATAACTATAATCCAAAAGATTTTGACTTGAATCCTAAATCTGCAAGATTCTTTATTATCAAGTCATTTTCAGAAGATGACATTCACCGATCAATCAAGTACTCTATCTGGTGTTCCACTGAACACGGTAACAAGAGATTAGATGCAGCGTATAGGGAACGAGAGGGTAAAGGGCCAGTTTATCTGTTCTTTAGTGTCAATGGTTCTGGACATTTCTGTGGAATGACTCAGATGATGTCTGCAGTAGATTATAGTACCTCAGCTGGTGTCTGGGCTCAGGATAAATGGAAGGGACGTTTTAAGGTCAAGTGGATCTATGTAAAAGATGTGCCGAACTCTCAACTTCGTCGCATCCGCTTAGAAAATAATGAAAACAAACCCGTCACAAACTCTCGTGACACACAGGAAGTGCCAGCAGAAAAAGGAAAACAAGTTCTGAAAATTATACATAATTATCGGCACAGCACTTCCATATTTGATGATTTCCTCCATTACGAGAAACGGCAAGAAGAGGATGAACAAAGAAAATCGCAGGTTAGTAAATTAAAAAATGCTGAAATGGACTTTTCTGCAAGACGTGATTCAACATAAAGAAACTGTTGTAGCAGAAAAAATCTTATACTTTTACTAATTCTTTTAAGAAATAAAAAAATAATGATAAATATTTATTATTATTTGGTTAATATAATAATAATAGATTGAACAGAAAAAGTTATGTTTGGTGAACACTGATTTCATCTATTGTTTTGAAAAAGATTGTCTGACTTGATAGTCGTTGAGTATGTTTTCAGGAATTATGAAGTATGTGACAGTACAGGTAGTTAATACTTTGGATTTTTGCTTAGTGAAGCCATTTCCTACTGTTTTCTTTTTTAAGGCTTAGTTACAGTTTCACTTCTGAACATGTTTTTTGAAGTGATAGCTTTTTTCCTTATCTAAGCATGCTCAGAAAACATTATTATTCTGCTTATGTATGAGACATCATTCTTGCTTTGTACTATTCTGTATGAAACATCATTCTTGCTTTGTACTGTTCTGTATGAAGTATCATTCTTACTTTGTACTGTTCTGTATGAAACATCATTCTTGCTTTGTACTGTTCTGTATGAAACATCATTCTTACTTTGTACTGTTCTGTATGAAACATCATTCTTGCTTTGTACTGTTCTGTATGAAGTATCATTCTTACTTTGTACTGTTCTGTATGAAGTATCATTCTTACTTTGTACTGTTCTGTATGAAACATCATTCTTGCTTTGTACTGTTCTGTATGAAACATCATTCTTGCTTTGTACTGTTCTGTATGAAACATCATTCTTGCTTTGTACTGTTCTGTATGAAACATCATTCTTGCTTTGTACTGTTCTGTATGAAACATCATTCTTGCTTTGTACTGTCCTGTAAGAAATATCATTCTTACTTTGTACTGTTCTGTATGAAGTATCATTCTTGCTTTGTACTGTTCTGTATGAAACATCATTCTTACTTTGTACTGTCCTGTAAGAAGTATCATTCTTACTTTGTACTGTTCTGTATGAAACATATATGGGGTATATAGACTGGTGTGCTGATCATGAAAATCTTTTAGCAATGCTTAGAAGACAGATGAAGATTGAAATAGCTTTGTGTGAGAGGAGGTAATTACCTATCGGAAATACATTTTCGGTCTAAAAAAAAATGTTAACTTCTTAATTTGACAGTGTTTCTGTACTGTCCAGTGTGTAACATCATTCTTACTTTGACAGTGTTTCTGTACTGTCCAGTGTGTAACATCATTCTTACTTTGACAGTGTTTCTGTACTGTCCAGTGTGTAACATCATTCTTACTTTGACAATGTTTTTGTACTGTCCAGTATGTAACATCATTCTTACTTTGACAGTGTTTCTGTACTGTCCAGTATATTACACCATTCTTATTTTGACACTGTTTCTGAATTCTAATGTGTGTAACATCATTCTTACTTTGACAGTGTTTCTGTACCGTCCAGTATATTACATAATTGTTATTTTGACAGTATTTCTATACTGTCCAGTGTGTAACATCATTCTTACATTGTCAATGTTTCTGTTTTCTGCCCTGTTTGAAACATCATTCTTTGACAGTGTTTATGTACTGTCCAGTATATTACATAATTGTTATTTTGACACTGTTTATGTATTGCCCTATATTAATTATCATTCTTACTTTAACTATTTCTGTACTCTGTTACTTATTTTGTTGTTTTTTTATTTTTATTGTTTTGTGTTATGTTACTTGTGCTATTGTTCCTGTGTAAAACCTTGTTTTTCTTGTCATGTGTTACTTGATATTATTCTTGTGCAGAACCTTGTTTTTATTGTTACATGCTGTTACTTGTATAGAATCTTGTTTTCTTGTCATTTTGTGTTTCTTGTTTTTGTATAGAATCTTGTTTTTCTTGTCATGTGTTGTGTTGTTTTTGTGCATAACCTTTTTATTGTTTTGTGTTGTTACTTGTGTTATTGTTCTTGTATATAACTGTGTTTTTATTGTCATGTGTTGTGTTGTTCTTGTGCATAACCTTTTTATTGTTTTGTGTTGTTACTTGTGTTATTGTTCTTGTATATAACTGTGTTTTTATTGTCATGTGTTGTGTTGTTTTTGTGCATAACCTTTTTATTGTTTTGTGTTGTTACTTGTGTTATTCTTGTATATAACTGTGTTTTTATTGTTTTGTGTTGTTACTTTGTTATTGTTGTATATAACTGTTTTTATTGTCATGTGTTGTTCTTGTGCATAACCTTTTTATTGTTTTGTGTTGTTACTTTGTTATTGTTGTATATAACTGTGTTTTTATTGTCATGTGTTGTGTTGTTCTTGTGCATAACCTTTTTATCATTTTGTGTTGTTACTTGTGTTATTGTTGTATATAACTGTGTTTTTATTGTCATGTGTTGTTACTTGTGTTATTGTTCTTGTATATATCTGTTTTTATTGTCATGTGTTGTGTTGTTCTTGTGCATATCCTTTTTATTGTTTTGTGTTGTTACTTGTGTTATTGTTCTTGTATATAACTGTTTTTATTGTCATGTGTTGTGTTACTAAAGTAAAATTAGGTAATTTTTGGCTTTCAATTATTGTTTTTTTTTTTTTTAGCCCAAAGGAAGATCAGATCAAGGAGATAACTAGCCTGACCAGTAGATAATTTAGAATGGACTTTACTATGATAATGACTTGAGTCATAGGATTCTGAACTTCTCTTTTCTTTGCTGCTGCTACTATTGCTGAGTGTATGTATATGAAGTAGTACAGCTATATTGTAGGTGATTCAATATGCAGACAAACTTAATCCCTTGGCTTGAAGTTTTTTTTTTAACACAGTTTGGTGATTGGGTATATATTTTTTGCCTTTCATTTGTAGTTTGATCTGGCTGAAGGATAAAGAAGCCAGTGTTGGAAGAAGAAAAACTGATTTTGGTGTATAATTGTCATGACTTTCAGTTAATTAAATGGCTGTTTTCTTTCTATGGGTAAGCTTTAAGAACCAGCATTATCATGATGATTGATCAGAAATCTGTAACAACCCCAGTAGAAGCAAAGAAGACTGTCTCATGAACCACTGGTCACTAATAACTTAACAAAACCTATTTTTTAGTGGACTAATATAAAAGGACAGAGAACAAAGGTGCCTGTTATTTTGTGCTTGCATTGATAATGTTTATGCAAAACTGAACTAAGAAAATGAACTTCATCTTTTTCTTTGTAAATCTCTGTCATCAGCTTAATGCTGTTGAGTGTCAAGCCTAGCAGTCTGGACTACAGTGCAACTCAAATGATGACTGGATGGAGGATGTGATAATACTTGAACATCTTGCCAAAAATGCATGGAGAGGCAAATCTCGTGTGTTTTCTGTAGAATAAAACTATTTTACAACAATAAAATTAGCAGAAGTTTTTTATACAAAACAAAAGGTACAGTAGGTTATTGATAGCACTTTTAAACAGGAAATCTAATTGTTTGACATGCTAAAAGTTTAAAGTTTCAGTTTTAATGCAAGGATAAAAGCAAGTTGTGATTTGTCAACCTTAATTTGTTAATATGAAATTACAGTTATGTTCTGGGGAATAATTCATAGAAACAATTAACTGAAATGAATGTTTTCATAGTGAAGATGCTACTTGTAACTCTTAGAATCTAAAGGTGGATCCATATTTAATTTATGCCTTGGTTAAAATCAATTTAACAAAGTTTACAAGTATTCTAATTATGGAATAAGGTGTGTATTGTTCAGCATTCTGCTATATTTAGAACAATTAACAGAAAATTTAAAAGAGTTTTAAGTTTAGTTTATAGAAGTCCTGAATTACCAAATCTAGTGTTATACTCATCATTTATGTCTTTTTATTATTATTTCACAGAAATTTTAAAAACATCAGAAAGCTGACAAATTAAATTTCTTACTGAACTTTATTATAATCTAGATGTAAAATTTCAAACCACAGATTTAAAGCTAAACCAAAGTTTTTTTGAAAATCGTGTTTAAAATGCACTACGTAATAATGAGAAATAAACGTTGAAACAGTAAAAATATGCCTTTTGTGAAAGTAGTTTGATTATTTTTTGACAACTTTTGGTTTTTGCAGAGATAAATAGTAATTTCTAGAGAAGTAGTTCTTTGTTTTATTGTCTTCGATATTATGTGATAGACTTCAAGAAAGTGAAATTTGTGGTTATTCTTCATTGGACGTGTTGATTAGAATAATTTCTAATAATTGCTGATACCCACATATGTTCTGTGGAGATCTAAAGATGGAGAGAAGTGTTGTTTTGATTATAAAATGACAAAAATATATCTTTATACACAGTTTTGTTTAGTACATCTCTAATATTAAATCTCTACATTTTTATACACAGTTTTGTTTAGTACATCTCTAATATTAAATCTCTACATTTTTATACACAGTTTTGTTTAGTACATCTCTAATATTAAATTCATTTTTATACACAGTTTTATTTAGTACATCTCTAATATTAAATTATACATTTTTATACACAGTTTTGTTTAGTACATCTCTAATATTAAATCTCTACATTTTTATACACAGTTTTGTTTAGTACATCTCTAATATTAAATTCATTTTTATACACAGTTTTGTTTAGTACATCTCTAATATTAAATCTCTACATTTTTATACACAGTTTTGTTTAGTACATCTCTAATATTAAATCTCTACATTTTTATACACAGTTTTGTTTAGTACATCTCTAATATTAAATCTCTACATTTTTATACACAGTTTTGTTTAGTACATCTCTAATATTAAATTCCATTTTTATACACAGTTTTGTTTAGTACATCTCTGATATTAAATTATAATTTTTATACACAGTTTTGTTTAGTACATCTCTAATATTCCTATGTTTGATGTGAAAGGAAAGTTGTCAAAGATTTCATTTTTATTCATCTAACAATTACAATATGATTTACTTTGGTAAAAGTCGGATAATACCTTGAAATAAAAATGGGTCTCCAAAAGTCTTATGGTACTAAACGGTGCTATTGTTAAACCTCGATTGTGTTTCAAGATGCAAGTTTAATCTGTTATGTTTCCGTTTTATCAAGTTAACTACATATACGCCATATAACAACTGGGTTTAGAATTATTTTTATCGCAGATAACACTTAAAGTTGTTTATGTCTTCTGAATGTAGATTAGAAGAAAAAGCGGTATATTTGGAGAGACAATTTTCTATTTATTAGAGATAATTTATGCTCAAACTTGAACAGTTTCTAACAGGACAATTTAGAAAAAAACCCACGAAAAACGGAGTTTGTTGTGACATCTATTGGGATATATAAATGCACAAAACCCTGGCATTAATACATTTCATGATGTATATTATAAAGCAACGATTATAGTACAATATTGCAGATAAACAGAACTTTAAATTTCCAAAGGTAATTAGGTTTTTGAGGTGTTAGTACGTTTCAGTGTCTTATTAAATGTTTATACTTTCAGTTAGGTGTTCAAAATTTAGATTATTTTATCAAGAGTGTCGTCTAAAAATGCGATCATCTAAAAGACGTTTATAATTTATTGGACCGTTAAGTACAAGTACTTTCATTGGTTGTATACGGAGCCTAACCATAGAAAATTGTAAGTGTAAACTATACGTTATCGACTAGCAATCGTACTTTTATCCAGGCACCGAGTTTATTTGCTGAATTTCGTGCATAGTTACACAAGGATTATCTGTGATAGTTGTCCCTAATTTAAAAGTAATAGACAAGAGTGGTAGCTAGTCAACACTATCCACCTGACAACTTTTGAGCTACTCTTCTACCAACAAAAAAAGTGGTTGAGCGTCACATTATAATGCCTCCATGGATAACAGGACGGGAACGTTTGGCAACATGATTTGCAACAAAGACCCGCAGGTGGCGAATCAAGCGCCCTCACCACCAGGCCAATTGAGAACGACGTATGTTATAAATACTGACTGCTGAAACACAAAAAACTATTAGCACTCCACATACAGTTCGAAGATCCAAAATTAAAATCACGACTTGCCAATGGATGGGGTATTTAAAAATTTTATGATTACGTTAAATACGTTTAATTCACTTGATCACTTCTAGTAAAGGAAATCAATTAAACTTATGAGGTCGTTTTAATATAACCTACGTAATTCATGTGGATTGTATTAGTTACTCCTCTTTGATGATGAATCATGACATTTTTTGTGGGATTCCACAAGTTTTATTTGGAATGAAATGTTTAAGGACGGTGGTCACTTTATGTTAAACATGCGCATTTTGCTTATAAATATATTACCATAAATAAGTTTAGTTCGGGTGATAAATATTATTATTATTTTTAATGATGTATGAATTGCAAACATTGACGACGAACCCCTTGCTAGTGAAGGTTGTCGAGAAGAAAGATTCAGACAAGGTGCAGGAAATAGATGTGTCAGTGAAAAACAAATGGAATTAATTGGGCCTGGCTTGAGGAAAAGTTTTTATTGATATTGCCTAAATCGCAATGGAAGAGCGGTCCTACTGAAAGCACTCTGGATGACGTCATTAGAAAGGTACGTATATCTACAAAAATGAAACTTGAAAGATCATGTATAAAAAACAAGTTTCTTTGTAGGCCCTAAATTTATATATATATATATATATCTCCTGTAGTTGTAAGCACATATTACTAGTATTGACGATGCATCATGCTTTAAATTTACTGTAAGTCGCTAGGCCTATCGTATGCATCTAATTTCTAGTTAGCTCTAATGTTACTGACTTAAGCCTAATTAGTCTATCTATCACCATAACGATCAATATATTGAGTAATTTATGCCAGGATGGCCTAAGCTAATGGTGCCCACTGTAAAAAAAAGTCACTTTATATAATTATTTCCATGCAGTTAAAAAATTATGATGAAGTGTATGAATATACATATTTTGTTAATGTTTTATTTCAACTTTCATACTCCTAAATGAACTCTTTTTTTTTTTTTTTATTAAGCCTCAAAATGTGTCCAAATAATATCACAGGGCATCTAGCAATTCAAAGTTTGCGAAGGCTGCCTGAGAATATAAGTTTAGCCCCAGGACATATTGTTCATATTTTTTTTTAACCAAGTCTCGTGTCTAGATAATTGATCACTTCATACATGATTGAAGAACACCGACGGACATTTTTTAAAATGAATATGTAATTACTGTAAATAGCAGTACATTGAAAATATCTGCCATTATGCAGGTGATCTCATACACGTACAAGTTCATTTGGTTGCAAAATTGAATTAGTTTTAAAGACTGCTACGGCACGAACTTTTTAAAATAAGTTTTTTATTGTAATTTGATTTTTTTATAAATTTGTTAGTATAATCAAGCTGCAAAGTACACATTAATTCAATAAAATTTGAAAAAGCGACACTAAAACGGATAGAAAATAAGCTTTTATTGGATTTTTTTCAAAACCTTAAACCTTTTATTGTACTTATATCCATAAACAGTCGAGCTTGTATACAAAATAAAGTTCAACAGGAAAATTTAAACTATTGTAGGATTTTGGTTATGGAACATCATAAAATGCCCTTTCAGTGGCTCAATTGGTAATTCTGGGGGATTATAATGCTAAAAATGGGGTTTCGATACTTGTGGTGGGAATAGCACAGGTAGCTCATTATACAGTTTGTGCTTAATAACAAATGAACAAACAATTCTCGTTCAAACTAATTAATAGTGAACTGAATGATTAATTCTATCTCACTGGATCCCGCATTTTTATAATGTACTCATTTTCTACGCCTGACAATAAGCTTTGATATTTCACAGAAGCCTAAACTATCATGAAGCTTCTAGACTACACACAATTATAGCTTTGGTATTTCACAGAAGCCTGAACTTTCATGAAGCTTCTAGACTACACATAATTATAGCTTTGATATTTCATAGAGGCCTAAACTTTCAAGAAGCTTCTAGACTACATACAATTACAGCTTTCAGATTTCATAGAGGCCTAAACTTTCATGAAGCTTCTAGACATCACACAATTTTAGTTCTGAGACTCCATAAAGGTCTAAACTGTCACAAAGCTTCCAGACTTCAAACAATTACAGCTTTAAAATTTCACAGAGGCCTAAACTTTCATGAAGCTTCTAGACTACACATTTATTATGCTGTGTAAACAAAAATCCTCAAAGTGAACAAAACAAAAACTTTCCCACAATAATGTATTTTTATTTTATTTTATCAAACGTTATTCTGAAGCTGGAGTAAAGAAACGCCTGATTCAAACTTTTCAAAAATACGTAATGTTTTCATTAAAGTTCTAAAGTTGAAGACTTGATGTTTACGTCAGAACTTTAGACCATCAGTGATTTTTATTTCTTTGCATTAAAATATAACCTTACACCCTTATTTGCGCGTTTCATAAATCGCCCTCTTCTTCAAAATTACTAAGGTTTAAGCCTTTGTATTTTTATCAAACGTTATTCTGAAGCTGGAGTAAAGAAACGCCTGATTCAAACTTTTCAAAAATACGTAATGTTTTCATTAAAGTTCTAAAGTTGAAGACTTGATGTTT